TCTCCTTTTATTCATTTTGATGACAAGTATTTCCGGTTGGAGGGAGTACTTGTTAGCACTGCAGTATCTGATTGTCCTGTTCTGGTTCTGTGATTCATATAGCGAAGGAGAGATGGAGTAATCGGGAGGCACAGTTGGCGGCCGCCCGCGCCGCCGCTGAGCAGACGAGGAGACGCATCGTGGGGATGGAGCGAACGCAGAGAACAGGCTGAGAGTTTCCTTCGCGGCTCGGTTGTAAATTTTGACTGGCCCAGTTAAGGAGATAACGTCTAGGTCAACCTGAGGAGTAGCGGCCCGATGGGCTGAGCGGGGGTTTGCTGGGGACGGAAGATCAGGAAATCTGGAACGTTGGTCAATGTGATTGGACGCCCGGTAAACTCAAATCGCTCTGGAGGCGCGTAGGTCGCTCAATCTTACTGTTTCTTAATTTTGGACATCAACACTGAATTTTATAAGCCCAAGTACATTGTATCTCTTATCCTTATCCTCCAACATTGCTTGGAGAGCAAGTGCGCCAACTAACTACATGAAAGTGTGTCTTTTTTGTTTCTCTCAAATGAAACAACAAATGGACCTGAAAGTTTGCAGGTCAACAGAACATTAGAATTACAATGCGTGATTTTTTTTTCAGATTTTCCCCTCTAGCATAAATATACAAAACTAGAAGGGTTGTGCGTGCTTTGCTGCACCGTTCATGTTGTTGGGTTTCTTAAAAAATTGATAACTCTGCTTCAAAATATAAGGTGCATTACTTTTTTGAAAAGTCAATCATTTTAAGTTTGATGAAAATTATAGAGAAATATATACAAATCCATACGGTATTTTTAGATTCATCACGAAATGATTTTCCATACTTTTTTGTTTATTATGGATGTCGATATTTTTGCTCTGAACTTGGTCAAAGTTAAGGAAATTTAACTTTTTGAAAAACTAATATCCCTTATATTTTATAACTGATGTAATTATTAATTTGGCGGGTGGGGAGATGGTAGAGTGTGTTTTATTTTTATTTATAATGCGGTGATTTGGTGGGTCTTTTGTGGTGTGATTTTGTGTTATCCGCTAACCAACCTATATTTATGTGGGAAATTTCTGTATCGGTTGCATGTACATTATTGATGCTACATTATTACATGGTGGCGCTTCTTTTTCTAGGTGATTGGAGGGTGCGCGGGATTGATATGTTTTTATAGGTCAGTTTGTGTTGATTTATTTGAAAAATTATTTGACAATGAAAATCGTAAACCAAACCAAAATTGAATACCCCAATTAAATGAAAGAGCTCCAAAACTTGGCAACACGGTGAATTAAAAAGAATTGAATGGGAGAGCTTGAGAAACTGTTGACCTGGTAAAAAAGGATGACCCAATTCAAATTGAATACCTCGATTAGTTGTGAGGCCTTAAAAATTAGTAAGCATAGTGTATAGTATAAAATAATTGAATGATGGAGCTATGATAAATTATTAACCCGGTCAAAATCAGGTGACCCAATTCTAATCGGAGATCTCAATTGAATGTGGGCTCTTTACAACTGCTAGGGAGCTTAGTGTTCTATAGGATGAGGAAAAAATTGAATAAAAAATTGGTTTTAAGTATTTATGGTGCATGGAAAAACCTGTAAGTTTCCCCCCACATAATAATTATAATATTTTGCTGTCTCAGAAAGTTTGAAATTTAGACAAGACTATCAAAAAGGCCCGTGCGTTGCAATGAGAGAAAAAAATACCACACGCTCTTAATTTACAAAAAATGTTCTATAGTCTAAGAATTTGTAGCTATTTCTTAAATACATGAAGAGTTAAAAAGGTTGTTAAAAAGATACAGAATTTTTTAATCATAAAAGAGATTTTTTTTGTCTGAAACAAAACATTTTTTTATGGTCTCATGTTGACGCAGGTACTTGCACCCCTATTTCATCACTATTTCTTGCCATACATATCATAGGTATTGATCCCTGTTTCATCATTATTTATTTCTTATCTAACTTGTCTTTTATTTTACTTTTTGTCATGCATGCCTCCTTTTCACTTTTTTCATGCATGTCCTTTTTTTGTTTTCTTATATATAGGAGAATAGCGCAACATCTCATCTTCATCGGATCTCCTCTGCATTCTTTCTTTTATTTATTTTATAGCGGACATCCCATCTTTATTTGGTCCTTTTATTTCTTGTCATGCATGTCCTATTTATTGGTTTCTCTAACAAATTTATCTTCAATTTGATGTCCAATTTCAATTTTGCTGAGGTGTTCATCCCCAATCTGAATCAGTATCGGTATGAAAAAAGACAGATATAGATATAGATATAGACTAGCCAGCGCATGGGCGCATGTCCATATCATCAAGCGCTTCTACCGTATAGAAAAAATCCAACTGGTCGCCCGCCAAAAGAAAGCACTTTGGTCCCTTGCCATCACTTTCTCCGTGCCCACGTGAAGGAGAACCAATAAAAACATGGGGACCAGCTGCGGATTAGCATTCGACCAAAGAGTTGCAGAATGAATCCGAATAAGGCCAGTTCTTTTGCCAGAATCTGGGGATTTTTCTAGAATCCAACCCTTACCCAGCTTCTTCCAGAATATTTGAGCCTCATTTGTTTTACAGTCCTATCTAGTTAGGGTCTAATTAGACAGGATTGTAAAACAAATGAGGCTCAAAGATTCTGAAAGAAGCTGGGTAGGAGTCGGATTCTAGGAGAATCCCCAGATTCTGGCAAAAAAACTGGGCCTAAAACTCGTCCATGCTGTCGGAGGTCGACAGAAAGCGTCAGTGAGACAGTGAGGAATGTTACTACGTCGTTTTCTTAGGGCATCTCCAGCCGTTGGCCCCCCAGGGGGCGTCTAAAAGCGCCGCCTGGGGGTGAGCTGACGCAAAAAATGTCCTTGGGGGCGATTCGGTCCCCAGCCGTCGGCCCCCAGGCGCCGCCCCCAGGCGCGTATAAAAAAAAAGAAAGACCGTTCGGCGAAGTTATGATAGAAAGTAGTTAAATTTTGGCTAAACATGGCAAATTTCGGCGAAATTCGCGCATTTTTATTACATTAACCTAATCTAAAAAAGAAAGGGGCTGAAGTTGTCGCCGCTATCGTCATCGTCGGCCTTCTCCTCCTTGACGCGGGCGCCCCTGCTGGACCCGGCGTCGCCATGGCGGACTGACGGCGGCACGTCGTCGTCGTCGTCGTCGTCGCTGTCGCGTAGGACGACGACCCCGTCTTCATCGTGGCCGCGTCGGCGCTCCTCGAAACGGCGCAGGGCGGCGCGCTGGCGCTCCTTCACCTTCTCCCGGCGCGCCTTCTCCATCGCAATGGAGTCCTGGCGCGCCCATTCTAGAGCCGCGTCATCGTCGTCGAACTCCGCCTTCACCGGCGCCAGCCCCGGCTCCGTCTTCACCGGCGCCAACCCCGGCTCCGTCTTGGGCTTGATGAAGCGCGAAGGAGCCGACGAGGAGGAGGCGCGCCGGCCGCCCTCGTTGATGACGATGCCAGCGCTGCGAGCGCGCCGGCCGAGCGGCGACTCCGCCGCGGGCTCGGCCTTGACGCCGAGCAGGGCCGGAGTGCCGGAGGAGTGCGATGAGGATCGGGAGGAGGAAGAGGAGGAGGAAGACCCGAACCTCCTTGGCCCCATGGCCCGACGCATCGGTGCTGCGCCGGGGGGTACGCCAACGGCGGGTCGTTGCCGCCCTCAAGGTACGTGAGCACGCCCTCGAGTGTGCGGCCGGGGACGCCCGACCAGAGGTGGCGCCCCTCGCTGTTCTGCCGGCCGCCGACCACCGGCGCGCCGTTGGTGGACGCCAATCGCTGCTGCTGGCGGCGCTCGAAATACGTCACCCAGGCCGCGTGGTTGTCGGCGGCGTACTGGGGGAGGGAGAGTTGGGCGTCGGTGAGGGACGCGCGCACGATCTCGACCTCCTCGGCGAAGTACTTCGGCTTCGCCACGGCGTCGGGCAACGGGGGAATGGGCACTCCCCCGGCGCTGAGTCTCCACCCCGTCGGCCCGGCGCGCATGTCCGGCGGCGCCGGGATGTTCGCCTGGAATAGGAGCCAGGACTCCTGTTCGCGGATCAAACGGCGGCCGAAGCCGTTGGCCGCCGCCTCGTCTCCGGGGAAGCGTTCTGCCATGGCGACGGCGGGGCTGGGCGGGGCTGGGCGGCGGCGCTCGGGAGAGGCAGGGAGAGGGAGGGGCTGGACGGCGGCGGGGGCGGGGCTGGTGTTGGCACAGGCGAGTGCAGGGCGCCGGCTTTTATAGCCGGGCCGCGCCCGTGTGTACGCGTGCGAGGGAGGAGAGGCGTCGGCGCGCCGCCCCGTGAAGCGCCGCCCGTGAGGAATCAATGGCAAGGCTGACCGGCGGCAGCCTTGCCATTGATTCCCCGCGGGAACCGAGGCCGTTGGGGGAAGACGAGGCGCCGAGTCACTGACGCGGCTGGCCCGCATCTTTTTCGCGCCAAAACAGCTCGCCCCGGCGCCCCCGAGCGCTCCCCAGCGCACCGGGTTCGGGCTGGGTCCGCCGACGCTGTTTTCGGCCCAAGCCGGCGAAAATCGGGCTCCTGAGGGCGTGACTGGCCCGTTTTTTCGGCGCCGGCGCGAAAAAATCTCCTGGGGAGGCCTTCCTGGGAGCGCGGGTGGAGATGCCCTTAGCGCTCGCCGTTAAAACTTTGGATTCATCGCCGTGAGATGTGCAAACGATGCGTAGGGTACCATGGGCACAGTGCGACTACTGCCATGCATTTCATGCATGTCGCTAATCGATCAAGGCAGCTGGACAAATTGAAGGAAAACAGTGATCCCTGTTGCCACCGGCCGGCACTGTTGGGCCAATAGCAAACAGTAATGGTGATGTGGCCAAGTTAATGACTACACTTCGGTTAGCTGTTGTGCCTTAATTAAAGATCCGGACGCGTAAAAATCCCATTCAGTTTGAGTAGACTCTAGTATTTCGGTCTTTCCCCCTTCACAAGCTTATCTCTATATATTTGTTTAACTCGGTTCCTTGTATACCCAGCCCTATGAAGTTCAACCTTCTCGCCATGCCCATTGCCCCCCACATCATTCTGCGCCCCTTTTGCATTAGCCCCGTTGGCCGCCGTCTTGGACGGCATGCCCGGTTCGGCTTCCGCGCGAGCTCCGCCGAGGCAGTTAACTGGGAGAAGAAGCAGGAGATCAGCAACACGAGGGATAAGAAAGCCGCGGAGGACACCGGGTTGAAGGCTCTGTATGATGATGGGTTCGGGAGCGTCACCATGAAGGATTACCTAGAGGCGGTTAGGAACATGCCCAAGGACGACGGCGGGCCACCTCGATGGTTCTGCCCCGTCGAGTGCGGCCGGCCGGTGGTTGCTAATCCACCTCTGCTGCTGTTTTTGCCAGGTTGGTCCAAGCGTTGTCATTAGTCAATGATAGTATATATCTATATCCATATGAGGTAAATACACCAGTGGTGCTTGAACTTGACACGGATGTGCAATTTAGTGCCTGAACTTGTAAAATACATTGAACTGGTTCCATAACTTGGCATGAACGTGCATATACGGTTCAAATGACGTTTGTATACGTCCGCCATGCTGATGAGGCGCGTCAACATGGCATGGGACCCGCTGTCAGTGACTGGACAACGGAGACAAGGGTGTGTGGCCTGGTTTTTTGTGGAAACTCCTCCGGAATTATTTTTCATACAATAAGGCCCTTACAGAGAAATTCGTACTATAATTATAAAATACTAAAAGACTAGCGTTGTGGTGGTTAGAAAGGGCGACCTACCAGTCAAGTGTATGCTGGGCTAGCCAATAGACCACTTCACATTTGCTGCTTCATGATGATTCACAACCTTTATAAACTAGGCGGAACAACATAAATAAAATGATTTTTCTTGCGAAGTATAAATAAAAGGAATTTAATGAATCAACAAAAATAGTACCAACTATGTGACTCCAACATCCGACCAAAGCTTATAGACCAGGCACGGATGCCACTCCAACCAATGAGTTCTCTTGTATCGAAAGTACAAGTAATCTTTATGACTGCCTAACAAACATAATTTCAAAAGAATGCAAAAAATCTTCATGTCATTTAAAAAAATCACATGTTATTTTAAAACATACTCATTCGATTGAAAATATTTCTGAATGATAAACATGTTTATATGATTCAAATATTATTCGTATGAGGATCCGCAATCTAAGGGCGCACTAGGCTTGTATTTCTTTTTTTTAGAAAACACACAGTTTTTACATAAAGCATAAACACATTTATATACTACATGAATATTTTATTAAAAATGTGGAAATTTTAAAATTATATGAGAATTTATTTACATATATGAACGTTTGTAAAACTAATTTAATATTTTATTAAAATGCAAACTTTTTTCAAATTATAAGATATAATCTTAATTCATAATTTTATTATATGTATGTTTGTTAAATTATTGCATTGGTGTTTTATGAAATTATATGAAACTTTTAATGTAATTTGTTTTAAATATATGTCTATTGTTTGTAACACACGATTACAATTTATGTATTTTTTATAAAATTTTGAAATAAAAAAATAGACACGTCGAAAACTGAGCCACACTATGGCCTAGTTTAGCGAGAGGGTCTTGTTATGTTATAAACCTAAATTTATCATTTTTACCATTTGATGTCGTCAGTTGGAGTGGTATGTGCGTCAGCTATACAAACCCTGGTTGCAGGTTCAAATCAACAGGGCTATATTGCTGGAATAAATTTTTAATTTTATGTTGTTCAGCTTTATATATATATAGTGTATGAATCCTTTTATGACGCTAAATTTGAGCCGGCCTACTGGCTAGCCACACTCACATGCGCGCGTCAGGTTGCTGTTTTGAACCCCATACCTGTTTTTAATTATTAATATATTTTTTAGTAGAGGGTTCTCCGGAGAAAAACCCAGGCCACACACCCTGTCCCTGACAGTGAGTCCCATGCCATGACGGCGCGACTCATCAGCATCGCGAACGTATACAAATGAGATTTGAACTGTATATGCACGTCTATGCCAAGTTACGGAACCAGTTCAATGTATTTTACAAGTTCAGGCATTAAAGTGCACATTCATGACAAGTTCAAGCACCAGTGGTGTATTTACCTCTATCCATATCTACCAATACCTTAACTAGATACATCCGTATTTAGACAAATCTAAGACAAGAATTTTGGGACGAAGGGAGTATAAAGAAGATATTGCTTAAAATTGTTCCAAAAGTTGTAAAATATTACCAACAATGTTCATTGAAAAACGTTTCACACAGAGGAGTATCACTGGGCCGGCCCATGCAGTCGGGACCTCATATACTGCGCTTTGCACGCTGCACAAGACGCAATGCGCCTGTTTGGGCCAGCCCATGTCCGGCGGCTTGTTTTTAAATTTTGCTTTTAATTTTCTATTTCTTATTTCCTTTTTATTTTTTTACTTTAAAAAATTTGGGACTTCAAAACAGTTCTTAAAATTAAAAAATCTATTTTTTAAAAAAGTTTAATAAATCATAAAATGTTTGTGGATTTAAAAACTGTTCACGATTTCATAAAAAGTTTGCTTATTCAAACAAAATCCAATTTTTGAAAACAAATGTTTAGGAAATCAAAAAAATGTTCATGATTTTTTAAAAATTTCTTGTATTATATTTTTTAATGAAATTGAACAAAATTTCACCAATTGAAAAAATGTTCATGAATGGACAAATATCCTAAAAATTTAAAAACTTTATATGACTTACAAAATAAGGTTCATCCATTCTAGAAATGTTCACTGATTCATTCATAAAATGTTCACTGATTCAAAAAATGATCATGCAATTAAATAATGTTCGCTAAATCAAAAAACTGTTTGTGAATTTCAAAAAAATAACTTTCCACCAATTTCCAAAACAAGGTTCATCCATTCTAGAAATGTTCGCCGATTCAAGAAAATTGTTAAAAAATGTTCATAATCTTTTTTAATAATTATTGCAAATAGTATAACATGTTCATGAATTCAAAAAATATTCCTGATTTCAGAAAATGTTCGAAAATTTGTAAAAGTGTTCATGAATATGAAAAATGTGCATGATTTCAAATATGTTCACGAGTTTAAAAAATGTTCATGATTTCACGAAATTGAGAGTGATAATATATCTCGGTGATGCAACAAAATGTGATCATGAACAATGGTAGTGGTGTCCAACTTCTGAATAATACGAACAACTCAAGTTCCAAACTGGCATCAATCAGCGAGACCGTACTTCTTTTGCCAGTCCTGCTCTTACATAAGGTTCACGCAGAAGATCAAGTTGGTGAGCTAGTCAAATGATATATATATATATATATATATATATATATATATATATATAATTATATAATTATTTGAATGTTATGGTTAGGATATTTATCTTGCCTTCCTTCTGCCATCAGCCTAATATTGCTTTTTGTAATTGTGGGAACTGCAGGAACCGATGGTATTGGAATGGAACTCATTTTGCATCACAAATCTTTGGCCATGTTAGTGTTCTATTCCTACCATCCCTATATTACATTATCACCATGGGGTTTCAAAGTAAACCAATCTACCCTCAACTATTTGTGGGCTGGCGTTGCAGTGATTCTAGAATAGACTATCTGCTCTTAATTACTCCCTTCGTCCCAATATATAATATTTTTTTAATTCCTTAAGATGATGTTTTGATCAATAACTATTATAATGTTATGTGGTATAACTGATACAAAATCATTTAAAAGATAAGAACATCAATTTTAGATCACATTAACAAAGTAATTATTGATCAAAGCTTTTATCTTAGCAAATAAACCGCAGCTTGCCTTTTGAGATAAGCAAATGTCAAGTCCCTCCTCTACCTGGTTCCGCAATGACCTATCAAAAAAAAGAGATTACACTATGCCTCATTTGGCCCACCACCACTTCTTACACCCACCATTATCTTGGACTTTTTCTACAAAAAACAATATATTGGACTTGGGATTTCATCTTGTAGCTCAATGACCAAAGCCACCCAACAATTTGAACTAGCATCGGATTCAATTGTAGCTTCTGACAGTTCTCCAACTCGTATTACATGCCACCACACCCTAGAGTCTTGAACGACATTGACCCCAGAAGCATTATTGTTGACATTGCCAATCCTGCTGCAAATCATCTGGCAGATGTTTTGCCATTGGTTAAACCCGCCCTTCTGCTTGTGTGCAATGGTCTCTCGACCCCATTCAAAACTCAGGAAATCGTCACCGTGATTAAACTGAGCTCCCCGGAGAGATTATTGATTCCTCCTCCTCTAATTCAACACAAAAAAGACCTCCAAATATCCATAGTATGATAATCAATCACAACAAGAAGACACCTAGATTTTGTGAACATGACTACATCCCTAGGAGCCTATTAACGGATGTTAAGCCCTACATATTATTGTGAACATGCTAACCATCGTCCCTACCTAGTGTGATATATCGAGATAAGCAATCACAACAAGAAGACATCGAGATTTTGTGAACATGACTACACCCCTAGGAGCCTATCAACGGATGCTAAGCCCTACATATTATTGC